GTGTGTGTGTGTGTGTGTGTGTGTGAGTGTGTGTGTGTATTCACCTTTCTCAGGCTGTATTCTCTGCTGCTGTTTCTGTAGTTGCATTATGATGGTTGTTCTGTGTTCTGGATCTTCAACTCCCATCAGTCTAAGATCATCTTCTGTTACTAATAGGAGACCCCCCACACACACAGCATTTCATTATTTCATTGAGTAGTTCACCCACAAATGAACATTTCTGAGAATTCATTCACCCCCAGGCTATCCCAGATCAGTTTGTTTCTTCATCAGGTTTGTAGAAATGTAGCACTGCATCAGTGTCTCAGCAAATGGATGCTCTGCAGTGAATGGGTGCCGTCAGAATGAGGGTCCAAACAGCTGATAAAAACATCACAATAATCCACAAGTAATCCACAGCACTCCAGTCCATCAGTTAACATCTGGAGAAGACAAAGGCTGAAACTAATCCAGCATTAAGATGTGTTTAACTAAAATACCATAGAGTCCATAATCCATAATAACTCTTCCTCCAGGAGGTGGTGTAAAATGTATGTTTTGTTAATTTGCATGCAGAACAGTCATGTCAATAATGCACTTCAAAATTAAATTGAGACATTCATAAAAATAGGTTCAGAAAAGAAGTCAAATCTACAACCATTGCTGTAAAGGGGTTTTGAGTTTCTATGTGTGGATTCGATTGTTATATCATTACAGTTTCTCACAGATCAGTTCTTTCGAGCATCAGAGAACACATGTATTTCTGATAAACTAGAGAATTGAAGCTATTTTGAGATAAAGACAACATGACATAAAATGAAACTTTCAGTTCATGTTAGTTCATCTAATGCTGCCAAATTCACTTTTAGCTGTACAAATTTAAAACGAATTTAATTCCTACCTTTTTTATTATTATTAATGTATTTTTTTCTTTACATTTTAGACCTCAGCTGTCTTCTTCAGTATTGGTGTCCCGATCTGTTGTCCACATCTCTCTCTCTCTCTCTCTCTTTCTGCGTTTGGGTTCCAGCGGCCCCTGATGGAGGGACCTGGGGCGCTGCGTTCTGATTGGCTGCTGCAGCCGTTGTCCTCTCTCAGCCAATCACAGCGCAGGAATCTCCGCAGGTTGAGACACATTCAGTGTTTCTCAGAACAGCATGGGTTTGTCTCAGAGAGATGAGCAGGTAGCGACCCTGTAACAGGTCGAACGTGATTCTATAGTCATTCTGAGGTTGTGTATTTGATTCCAGGGAGGTGATAAAATATAAAGCTGAATGACTGCGTAATAATGATAATCTGTCATATATGTAAATCTGATTATCATTCAGTGGGTCTCTTATAGTTGTGATTCAAGTATTTATAATGCAAAAAGCATATAAAAAAAAAACAAATGCAAAATTGTTCAGCGCCCCAAGCTGTAGTTTCATCATGACAGCAGGAGGTGGCGACGAGTTATTTTCAACTACAAACCACATGTAGCGCCTGGAACCACTAAAATGAGACCTAACCTGTTGTTAATGAGAGACCCATCAGCAGTGACTTTCCACAGATGATATACTGAGCTGTTTTCTTCAATATGAAACCTACTGTAAGATACTTACACGTGCAGAAACACATAGTTGAGAAATTACTGTACTAGAAGCACTTGTGGCCAAATAAGAGTCGCACACATAATTACTAGATATGTACAACGAAACGCTAGATTTATTCATACAGAGAGGTGATAGTAGGAGGACAAAAACAGGCAAGAACTCTTCAGAATACAAGACATGAATGAACTTAAGCATGAAAGACTCATAAAAACACAAGAACAGAAGAACTGAAGGTCAAGCTAGAGAACTGCTCCTGATTCATGATATTACAGTTTTTTTCGATTGCTAAATGACAGTGGGCACAACTGGAGCTACATGTGCAAAACTCTAACTACAGTCTGCACAGCAGCAGTTCATGTGGACCAAACTCTAGTTCGTTTTTCATTGCTTGAACACAGTTTTCAAAACTCTACACACTTATCCCATGACTTTAACCACAACCTGCACAACACTGTGGATTTACAGCACTTTGATGTGAACTGTTTAGCTCAGGTGACTGTTGGTAGTGCAGACTGTAGTTAGAGTTTTGCACATGTAGCTCCAGTTGTGCCCACTGTCATTTAGCAATCGAAAAAAACTGTAAGTGTTCTTCTCTAAATCAAAAGTGAGATTTTAATTAAAACAATATGTTTCTTACGCCGTTTGCCAATATTGCTTCTTGTTTTAAGCATAACTCACGTTAGACTGAATATTTGAAGTTATTGTAGAAACCAAAAAACAAGACAAGAATACTGAATAAGTAATGAATGTGTTGTGAAACAAGTTAACAGATTCACTTTTTACAATTTAGAACAAAACGTCACTTGATGATCACGAGTGATGTCAGCATGTCGTTTCCCATCATGCTTTTGTTAGTTTGCTGCTCTATAACTGGCCTGTGTGTGTGTGTGTGTGTGTGAGTGTGTGTGTGAGAGTGAGTGTGTGTGTGTGTGTGTGAGTGAGTGTGTGTGTGTGTGTG